GGCAGAGAGGTTTATTGGGGCACAAAAATTTTCAGTACATTTGTATATAGTAGAGGAAATAATTTGAAAAGAATTACTTTTGTTTGTTTGTTTGTTTGTTTGTTTGTTTTTTCGAGACAGTGTTTCTCTGTGGTTTTGGAGCCTGTCCTGGAACTAGCTCTTGTAGACCAGGCTGGTCTCGAACTCACAGAGATCCGCCTGCCTCTGCCTCCCAAGTGCTGGGATTAAAGGCGTGCGCCACCACTGCCCGGCAGAAAAGAATTACTTTTAAAAATAAGAATTGATTAGGTTTCAAAAGTTCAAGAGAATACTTCTAGCTGACATTCAAGTAGATAATGTTATACAGTTTACTTGTTTATTCATTAACTATGATTAATGCCCTTCTTGAATGCAAGGTTCTGGGCACTGGCACTAGTGTTTCAGTAACATAAGACATAGACAACAATCCCTGTCCTTGGATAGCTTAAAGTCCACTAGGATGTGGGGAGACAGACAATAAACAAGAGAATACTATGTAAAACACTAGGCTGGTGGAAACCAGAAAATAAATCAGCAAGAAAAGAAAGGGCACTGGGAATGGCTGCCTTACAGGAAGCCTGGTTAGGAGGGCATCCTCAAAACCAAGGACAGCAGTACCTTTGAGAAGAAAGCTCAGAGCAGAGAAAGAATGTGGAGAAACAAAAGACAGGTGCAGGCTGGTGACAGCCCAGAGAGCGAGTGTGGGCGGCTCACTGAGAAGACCCACATCAGTACGCTTTCACAGACCAGGGCAAGAGCTTTGGAATCTACTGGAATGGAATCTACTGCATGTGATTCAAGAGTAGGTTTTAAACAGATCTGATTTAGCATTTAACAAAATCGTAATGTTGACAAGACCACACACCCAAGCACAGAAACTGTGTGCCTTGTAAACAAAGTTGAATCACTTACCATTGATCCTCCTTTCTTTTCTTTTCTTTTCTTTTTTTTTTTTTTCCGAGACAGGGTTTCTCTGTGGTTTTGGATGGAGTCTGTCCTGGAACTAGCTCTTGTAGACCAGGCTGGTCTCGAACTCACAGAGATCCCCCTGCCTCTGCCTCCCGAGTGCTGGGATTAAAGGCGTGCACCACCACCACCCGGCTGGTTCTCCTTTCTGAAGTGTGCTTATTCCTAGAGATCAGCAGTTTACACTCCTAAATACTACCAAGCATGTCAGGGCGTGTGTGTCTGTGTGTGTTACATTTACTGGGATTTATCAAATTATTGTTGAAAGTGGTCCTGTGAAATTATGTTCCAGGGGTCCTGTGACAGTTAATCTTGTCAGCCTGACTGGGTTAGCAAACCTGTAGTAGAAACCTAAAGAACACATCCTGAATTGAGCTTGAGGGCATTTACAGACACAACCAGAGCATGAGCCTCTGACGTGATGAAGGATTTATTCCATTAATGAATTCAAAGTCTGAGCAGACTATTGTGGGACTGTGGATGGCAGATCCTGGGTGGGAAAGGTGGATTACAGAAGGCGGGGTTGTCTGTGGGGGCTGTATCTTGCCCCGCCCCATTTCTGTTAGGGCTCTGCTTCTGCTCTGCTGCTAGGCTTGAACAGATTCATTCCATTAACCCCATGAGGTTGGAGGTCAGTGGCAATCCGTGCAAATATGCTGCTGCTATTATTATCACTTGTAGTATAATAAGTGTTCTGACTCAGGAACATTTTGAGTCTTTTACACAAAATAACAGCAAGCTAATTCGCATAGCATGTAAATACTATGCTATAAAATCAAATCAAGACCCAATAATTAGAAGTAAACACTAAAACAATGTTAAAATATTCAATTCATTTAAAGGAATAAGTCCATTATTTGTTTGTTGCACTAGCTTTTTTGGTCTACATGACAACATGCCACCAACTAGGTGGCTTAAGTAACAGAAACTTTCCTCAAACTTCTGGAGACTTGAATTACAATCTGCTTTCAGGCAGCTGCTTTCTTACCAACTCCTCATATAGCTTCTCTGCCCCCCCCCCCATCTCCACTTTGGAAAATGCAATTTTATTTCATTTTTTAATTTATTTATTATGTATACAATATTCTGTCTGTGTGTATGCCTGCAGGCCAGAAGAGGGCACCAGACCTCATTACAGATAGTTGTGAGCCACCATGTGGTTGCTGGGACTTGAACGCAGGACCTTTGGAAGAGCAGGCAATGCTCTTAACTGCTGAGCCATCTCTCCAGCCCCAAAAATGCAATTTTAAATATAAAAACATAGCACTTATGATAAAAAGAATTTGCTCTATGTTCCCTTAAATTCATGAATTGAAGTTCTAACCCTTCAATGTGACTAGTTTTGAAACTAGGATGATTGGTGAGATAATTAAGGTTAAGTAACATTTTTAAAGTGGGGCCTTAATGTATTAAGTGCACATGCCAATGTGGTTGGTGAAAATCTCATAGGGTCCCACCTCTATGAAGAGTTACTAGCAGTTAGTGACTGCTGAGAGTGGTAGAATTAGTCTTTCCCAGGGATGAGCCCATAGTTGGTTATCCAATACAAAGTGGCTAACCCTAAAACATATACATACAAGCAACATTAAATGGACTTAGCAGTTCGTGTGTGTATGTATATATACACACATATGTATATGCACAGATATTTATATATGTATACATATACATATATGTATATACACATATACACACAAAACACACATATGTATGTAGCAAGAATAAAGAAAAAGAGGCCATGAGTTTGAGGGAGCAAGGGTAGGGAGGAGATGTTGAAGGGAGGAGAGGAATGAGGGAAAATGATGTGATTATGTTATAATCTCAAAGATAA